ATATATATATATATATATATATATACATAAGTGTAGCGTGATGTACGTTCCGCACTTGATTCTTTTAAGGTAACTTATTTGTTTATTCTTTCAGCTTTAGGTAATGTATTTCCATGTCATGTACATAGATGGAATTTAAAAAATTACCCGTTTTATAGCCGGAATGCGGACCCATTTTATAGAGCCTGTCGATAAGAAGTGTGTCCTAGAGGTCACACAAATCGCGCGTGTGCATGTACGTGTTCGTATCCAAGAACCTAGGGTCTGAAAATGTGTGAAATTACCAACAACAACAGTAATAATTTTCAAAAGTTCAGTACAGAATTTTCTATATGGTCACGCTACTGAAAATTTCATGCTGAATATCGAATCCATACTGGAATTTTCTTGAAATCAATGGGAATTCTTTAAATAATACAATGCAAAGCTTCGTGTCTCTCCTTCTGTTTGGAACCTCGTGTCAAGATGGTGAAATTCGATGTTGGATGCTTTCGCATAAATTTGTCAAGTAACTCCAATTTTCAGCCACGTAGACTCATAAAGAAACATTCTACGCACAAGGCCATCAGTTTCCATAAAATTCAACCGATTACGTTGAAATCCTGCATTGGGGTCTTCTAAAAAAATTTTAAATTTCAGCGATGTTGGTTCATATAAAATGGTTTCGAATAAGTCCATAAACGGATTCCGCCACGAATTCTTGCAGATTTGCACAGATGTTCACTAATTTGTATTTCTTGTTCTAATATTAATTAGATTTGATATACTAAATAATGGAGTACATCCATCCTAATCCTGTTTATTGCTGCACATAACAAAAGTCTGCTGGCTTCCCCTTTAAAACCATTCCAGCAGTCGCTTCCTCGTCGTCATAAACTGAAGACTCTGTATTTTAATTAATTAAAATGTTGTGTTTGTAGAAATAACAATCCTGGTATAAAATATAGATATTTTTATTTTATCTTCATATTTTGCTATCTCATGAAATAGAAGACGCAATAGGTTACTTATCACAACATAATAAATAGGCGATCCTTTATTTTTAATCAATTCAAGGTTAACATCAAAGTGAAAATTTATCTTCAACAAAATAGCCCAAACGTAAATTTGTTAGGGAGGACACATGTTCTATGAAGTTAAGCTTACATTTTACTGGTATGTGATGCCGTGTAGTTTGATAGATAGGTATCAGTATTTCGGAGATCCTGCTGTCCCCATCTTCAGGCCAGATTATCTTCACTGAAAAGAATGCAGCCGGTTGCATCAAAACGTTAGTACCAATCTACCAAGCACATGCAATACCAACCAAAAAATTTCAATGTTGATATTCGCTATCGTGACAACCTCGAATCTTCGAAAAAATTAAATTTGAGAGTCACGGTTAGAAGGGGTTAGAGTTTAACATTCTGAAAATTTCTCCAATAAAATGTTCTCATAAAATGTCTCTAGAAATTAAACATTTTGCAAATAATAAAAGAGGTCCATATATCTGTTTCGTTAATATGTATGAAAAATTTGGTTTAATGGGTGATTTTAATACACAGCTATCAACTCTATTCAGATCTGAAGTTTTATGATACACTCAGACACTATATGTACCCTTGTTCATCTCTTAAGAACAACATTATAATATTGTACTGTGTAAATGTAACTATAAACGGGATTTTGACTGGTGACTGGGATTATTGACGACTTATACAGTCACGACGTGTGACTACACTTTACAGATCACCGACTCACAGAGACTAGTATCTTCATTTTATTAGTTTTCACTAGCCGTTTCGTGGCAATAGATGTTAACATAGGAACTGTAACTCTGTCAGCGAATTACACACTCCAAAATCACACGAAACGTGTACTATTCACAGCTGGGCGTTCAACTGCGCACCCATACAACTAAATTTAACTGACTCTTTTCTTCAGACTCCTCTACAGAACTCAACTAAGCTCAGCGTCAAAGTCAGAGTTACTTTGCGACTGAAGATTTATCGCCAAACAGGTCTTTTTGACGCCAAGCCTCTTGAGACTATCGGCCACAATTCTTTCTCTCCCCCCCCCACCTTAACATTTGCGGTTATTGTTTCAGATTCGAGACTCCCCAATCTGGAGGGCCAGGTCCCCGTTCTTATATCCCCCAGGAACAAAGCTGGCCTGTTATACGCCCAGGCACTGGGTTCCATTTTCGTCGCATCTTACCATTTGCAGGGCTTACGGTGGAGGTATTCTAACCCGTATACGCACGGGTGTCAATAATCCAGTAATATTATCCCACATATAATCTGTAGTCACGGACCACGTAGAAAAACAGACCTCTTCCATTGTAGTAGTCCAACTGTTGCAATATTAAGAATTTGCTGCCTAGCAACTGCCGTTCCGTTGTTTGTTTCGAGGGATTGTGTTTACCGAGCCGTTTCCTAGAAACTGACTGAGTATATCCACCCATCTTTCGGTCGTTTCATAGCAACGGCTCTTTACACTACAATATGACTGACATTTTCTCGGTGATAACATCACCCTTTTCTATGACGTGTTTATTTACGGTTTATTTACCGACGCTGCAAATATCTCAAGTTATGTAGCATCGAATGATAGGACGATTTTAGGAGTGATTAATTGAAAATGTAGACGGAAGCCGTCATGTTGTAATTTGAGCTGTTATATCACAATTTTCTTCTAGATGCTGTGTAAATGCTCCCGTCAGGATAACCGGTGTTTGTTTGACATCCGAACCCAGTGCCCTCCACAGCCTAGTCAGAAGCCTTACAGTTTCAGCGAACTTCTGGGATGTTCCGACGTGTATTTTTGCGGGTTAATTAGCAAATCTGATTCAGTATCTACACTATGTAGCGTCGTAAGTTAGGATGAGCATTGAATCGGTGTTAGTAGAGGATCTGGAAAGAAGGGACATTCACCTACTGTACCTACTATCTTAACAATTTCCTCGAGAGACAGAGGAAAACGATGAAAACATCAGGAAATTCGATGTCCGGGCTGAGATTCGAACCGAGCGCGTTTCGAATACAAGACAGAAACTTCACCTCTTCAGCTAATTTCTAGAATGTGTCATCTTGTAGTTCAGAACATAGGTGCCGACGTTTCGGAGGAATATATATACTGTTCTTCAGGACAGAAGGCCCCTATGATGCAGAGATGGAGTCAACAAGTTACTGCAAAATATTGATCCAATTTACACGGCATCATGACCTAAACTACAGTGATGTTAGCAGCATTATATGTCCCAGCAGCCTTAACTGAAGGTCATTGCCAGTAGGAACACATTACAGCTCATTTGGGAATACCAAGCACTGTGAAGGTCATTTATGATTACGTAATGATCCCTACAACATCTCAGTTAAGAGAGTGAGAAGAAGCAGGCTAGAAGACAGAACATTGCCAGGACGAGCACATCATAACTCGACGCTGTCATTCATGTTATGTGCAATATAGACTCCATAACAGCTCAGTTAACAAGTTGATACGACACAGACTCGACGACCGAACAAGTTATCTGCAATAGTAACACGTTTGTTTTCTTATTGGTAAGTACCTGGCTTACGTCTCAAATGGAACACATGCTAACTCTATCGTAGATCTGTCGTTTATTATTTATTTATCGTGTATTATTTAACAAAGCTTTCGGTTGGCAGAATATATAGAGTGAAATGGATGAACGCTAGATGAATAATTATTTGGAAGGGGTTGGGAAGGAATTGGCCGTTGACGAATGAAGATACTTTTCTAGCAATTGCCTGGAGGGACGGAGGAAACCCGAGATTCTTGTGAATATGATCAAGAGCGTCACTGCTACTCCCAGCCATTTGGGTCGGTCTGTTGTGGGTGCGCTCAGTCCCGCAAAGGAAATGCTCGAACTTCCCTGGGACAGAGGGCATGCCACTGCCAGTCAATGACAGAGCTCGCTGCTGTTCATACCGCTACATTAGCTGATCACTTGGTATAGGTCTACACAGGCACACACAATGCAGTCTTCAATACAGCTTCACATGACACTGGTTTGATCACCATTTAGTCCAAGCTTATATATAATTTACAATGACATGTTTCGGCCACACAGGGCCATCGTCAGGTACAAGTATATATGATCATTCGCGTACACTGTTATACTGTAATACGGTTATGTGGCATGTAGACTCGTTGCTAGGCTGCGACTTCGATATGAGCGATTGTACAGCGACCGTTGTTAGATAGCGGCACGCATACAACAGAGGAAATGTGTTTTCTGCGCGGTCAGCTAAGCAACAATTGAACAACAACGAATGAAACATTTTTCTGTGCAGTCTGTGCCGAGATAAGCAGGACAATTCCAGCAATGAGTTAGGTGTGGGACAGTTGCCAGCCAGTAAGAAAGTGAGCACGGAAGCAGACGACATTGTTGGAATCTGTCATACCAGGCAACGACCGGTGAAGACACAGTAGAATGAGAGGAGATAGTGCGTGCTGTAGTGAATTGCAGACTGTGTGAGTTAGCTTTAGCGCCAGTGACTTAGACAAGACCCTGGGAAACTGGTATCACATCTCACCATATCCATCGCATTCAGAATTTACCAACAATGAAGTTACTAAATGATGTACATTATTTTATTGTTATGATCTTCCATAGTTGGTTGTGCAAACCGTTATAATGAAGAATGACTTTATAGGATAGGGAAGTGGGTACTGGAGATGACTTTATGGCCCGAAAATTTTGGGATGCTCTGATGTAGCCCATGAGTGTTGTCCGTGCGAAATGTTATTATTTGATCCATTTGGTACTTATTATACTGTAATCCGACTGACCATTTTCGTGGTTTTACCCAGTCCCTGTATACATGTCTAGATAACACCATAATTAGGCCTCGATGTTATCTGTCCGAATCGAATCCATTTCATGGATCCTACCATTCGATGTTATAGACCCGCGTAGTCCGAGATAATCTCAACGCCATAACATAAACCATAAACCATATTAGCAAAAATATTAATTTTTCATATCTTTTTTACAGAAATCCAGTCACACTAAAAAGAGCTAAGGAGAAAAGCAGAGACTGCTGGAAAAGCAACAGTCACTTTAGTACTGCACTGTTACCCACTGGTCTGCAATCCTGTTTAAAACAGTTTGTAGTGGAAAGTTCACGATGCTGGAGTCTCTTTGGGTATGGACTCTGGCCACGGGTCTCATAAGTATAATCGGATACTTGCTTGGGACATGGACCCATGACCATTTCTCCAAGAAAAATGTACCGCACCTGAAACCTGTACCATTCTTTGGGAACATGGGATCAGTGGCCTTCAGGATTGTTTCTTTACCTGAATCACTTGTTGACTGGTACAACAGGCTTAAAGGCCACAAATATGGTGGTGTGTATGAATTCCTGAATCCAATTATTTTGTTAAGAGACCCCGAGCTCATAAAGATGGTGACCGTGAAAGATTTTGAGCATTTCGTTGACCGCGGAGTTCGTATAAGTGAAGAAGTTGAGCCGCTGTTCGGAAAGGGCCTATTCAGTCTCAAAGGTGAGTTCCTCATTCCGAATATTCTACTGGTTCTGGGGCCCTGCAGAACTTTTGTCACGGTAGATGTCTCCCAGAGCAAAACATATTTGAATGTACATCATTAATAGACACTGATATAAATTATATCACTAGAAAATTGATAAATTCAGTTTTAAACATAGTATTGGAAAAATGATGGTTATGCCGAAGACCCCGATAAAGACAAGGCTTTTGACCATAAGACTGCCTACTCAAAATATGATGTACACTCAATGATGATTTAGACAAAAAATATTGCCCGTTATTTGTACGTATGTGTTACCTTGATGGAAGAACATAAATTTCGAAATTTGACTATGTCACGGCCTAGAATAAGAGGACTGCGGTGTTCTGGATTGTTGCGCCTGGAAATTTGGAATGTTAATACTGACGTCTCAGAGGAACAGAGGACTGAGGCAGCAGATTCCTTCGAAACATTGATAACTCTCTGAAGGATTAAACGCATCCTATCCCAGGACCGCCAAATTTCTCGTTAGGTTTATATTATTGCGCTCAGTGTTTCGAATTGTAACATGACCTATGAAGTGGGAAGGATCTGGAAGGAGACGGTCGTGATCTACTAGAGGTAATATGGCAAAATTTGGCTGGGGAACTGAGTGGAACCAGGGAAAACGTCAGTCGGGATTGTGGTTGTCCAGAACGAGATTAGAACGAACAATACACAGATATGCTAGCACAATATGTAATCCGGTTAATTGGCGGTGCATGAATAATATAATATTATGAAAACATATATATTTACACTCAAATAACAACAGACTCCCTGGCTGTATTCCTCAAGCGAACTAACACAGCATGTAAAGCGATACATCGACATAGAATGTAAACAGATGCATAGGCACACCATGTAAATGGGATAATTCGCAGCATGTAAACTGACACATTGACAGTATATGAAGTGATACATTGGCACAGTATAAAACATTATACCTACAAAACACGTAAATTGATACTTTGACAGATTATGTTGTCCGATACATTAACATAGCATAAAAAGAGATATACGTACTAACAGAGAGAAAAGAAAGGTAAAGTTATTCCTGTAACAGGCCGTGAAGGCCCATATGGTTGTGAGACGTTGAGGGTCCCACATTATATACACATCGGCTCAACGATGGTGGTAAGGTAGTCAGCCTTACGCTTTACTCCCCAGGGAAATTATCTCATTAATTCCTGGTACTCATTTCTGTTAGAGGCTGAGTCGACACCAGGACCATGGTGCGGCCGGAAGGATTAGGTCAATTGAAAAATCCAATGAAATTATCGGGACTTAAACCCGCGACCTTCCGGCTTGTAGCATAGTGCCTGAACCAACTACGCTATCTAAACCTATATATTGACACAGCACACTAATCAATGAAATCAAGCTATTTCTTATTTCTTAAACCTATAAATCATTTGGGAATATACATAATCTCTTACTGTTATTAAAACTTTACGATATCTCAAATTCAATATACTAATGTACGCGTTAATGCTTGCTAGATAAATCAAGTTAAGTGTGAGAGTATGCACACTAAATGTCTTTTAAAATTGTAGCTATCAGATATTAAGGAAATAAAGTGGGTATTTTAGACCAGTCACAAGTAGGATATTTAAATCCTTGGAACTTTCTCCATGTACATGTTCTATGGCCGTACAGTTTTGTTAACCGTGTCTTGCTACGGCCATACGCGTTGCCAGAATTTTATCCTGGGGATCAGACAGGATGAAATTTCAATGCTCTTTAAAAATTGTCGTAGAGTTCTGTTTCTCTGCAGGGTTAAATATGGGGCCATGGAGAATATTCAAATTTTTCCATTTTTAATTTGTGTTGTTCATGTTTTGGGGTATTATTTTCTCTTTTCAATTTCTATTTTTCCACAAATATAAAGGATGGACAGATGCCTGGCTTGCCCTCGGTCACGGTTTCCATGGCTAGAGATGTACATTTACTTCCTTTGGCAACTGTTGCATTTGGTTAAGCCAGTTCAGTTTTCGGCTGATCAGGCCAGGTTAGGCTGGGTTGGGTTTGCATAGATTGGGTTAGGTTTTCTTACAGAAGTATAGGTAACGCATTGTAAATAGAAATTTGAGAAACAGAACAAAAGTTATTGCTAGGGAGGGCAGAATTGAATTGCGCTTGCGTAGTACGGCCTTTCACTGTAATTGAACAGAGGAATTCCATTCCGGTCGATTCATTTCCCCACCAGACGAGTATGAACTGAACAGAGAATGATACAGATGAAGGTGATCGTAAATTATGCGGGATTATCAAATCGTAGAACAATTATAAAAAACCAGAAATAAGTAGTAATTTTTAACTTTATGTTATACGTCCGTAATCGCAGACAGTAATTTTTTTTTCTGGGACGTTATCCAGTCGTACTTTTTATCGTGAACCCTGTGCATACTCGTTTGCATATGTTTATTCGCTTGCTTAGCCATATTTAGCACGAGATTACGTAGGAATACTAAACGCCAAAAATGGAGGTCAACTTTTGGTCTTCAGTTTTGTCCAAGGATAGTTTATGGGGAAAATTAATAAACGGAATTAATCTCACTTTAATATGACTTCTTTCATTCATCTATTTACATTTTCATTCCCTAACAGGACAACGATGGAAGGACATGCGATCCACTCTGAGTCCTGCTTTCACATCCAGCAAGATGAAGAATATGTTCGTCTTGATAACAGAATGTGGTAAACAGCTAACTGACTTCCTGGAAAAGTGTATTAATGACAAAAACATGACAATTGAAGGCTGCAAGATAGAACGAGGTAAGTAATACCGCAACACAAAGCCGTTCATATCAGTCTGATTATGTACATGTAAACGTACGGACCCTTGAATTCCGTGTTTCCGCGCTCGAACATCTGCCGAAGTAACGGTTTTGGGGGCGGCGTAAGGTTCAAACAAGTAATGTTCTTGATTACTTTGAAGTAATCTGCTTACTGTGTTTGATTTTCTTTAATTTATTTCTTTGCTTATTTTTATATTATTTGTTTATTTACTTCGGTTATTTACTAATCTGTGCTACAACGCCCGGAAAATAAAAAATGGAGGACGCATCTAGGCTATTCAGGACGACAAGTCTTAAGGAGGGAGACTGTAGCATATAGACCCCTTGCTAAGATATGACTCTTTAGGCAAGGCCCGTTGCTAGGCAAAATACACCTAACACTGTCAGTGCGACAGCTGCATGACACAACAGTAGAAGAACTGTAGGAAGCAACGTTTTCTCTGCAGTCTGTTTCGAGGTATTATAAGCAGAATAAGTCTACAGTTTAATCGGTCGTGAGACTCTTGCCAGCCGGTAAGGACGTGAACACGGAAGTTGAGGAGACTACGACGGAAGCTGTTACCAGCCGAAAACCGGTGAAGACACAGCAGACTGAGAAGACTTAGTGCATGCTGTAGTGAACTGCATAGAATGCGAAATACCCATAGCGCTATAGTGTAACTGTTCAACAAATCAAGTTATCATCCAAACCCAGTCTATAGTCACACTCCATAAAATGGTGACATAAGTATTTGAGTTTAAATTGTGAGTGGTGTTATTACTGCCGTTTCTGAACTTCTTATTGCTATTGAAAGATGGCTGTTACGTGACACACGTCTCTGTGGGAAGAGGCACGGGTTCCGGCATGGGATCTTGAAACTCTTCAGTGAACAATTGCAAAACTGTGCTTCTTCTTCCTATCATAGATGTTCTGTCTGAAAGTTGAATAGCCAAGTACACGAAATAAATTTTCACACTTTCATGTTATATGTATTTTTTTATTTCCGTGCTGTATCAATATTTACAAAATTACATTCTTATGACAACTTACGAGTGTGGTTGTATGTCAAACCCTCCCCAAACAATATAAAATGTAGCAGAAATACAGTGAGGAGTTCTAAACATGAAATGATCAGAATTAAACATATGGATTTTGCATAATTCGTTCGTTTCGCATAATCTGTACAGATAAAGTACAAGAGATTGAATTCTAAACCATTTTGAAATACAAAATTATTTTTATTTATACATTGCTGCTTGTGGTACTTAGAAAATTAGGTTCAGTCCCCATCTTTATTGTATTTTTGTATGTTTCAGAAGGTAATATTCTGGCTGTGGAGATGAAAGACTTGTTCACAAGATACACAAATGATGTAATTGCTACGTCAGCATTTGGAATTAGTTGTGATTCACTAAACCATCCTGGAAATGAATTCTATGTGTTGGGGAGAGATTTTACCAACTTCAGCGGTATCAGAGCCATGAAACTTTTTGGCTACATGTTTAGCCCAAAAGTCATGAAGGTAAGAACATAATTCATGTACATATAGAAAAATGTTATTCTGAAAAACTTATACAAGTCTAGAGATGTTTCTATTAATCAAATTTCAGAATCTCTTTCACTGTTTAAAATTGTGGAGTATTGGCTCAGTGCCTCACCCATTCTGTGAATTCTTTCTACTTCTCCTTTCTTTCATTTCCTCACGATCATACTCCTCCTTCTTTCTTTCATTTTTCTATGCTCATAGTCTTTCTCCTTCTCCTTTCTTTCACTTCTCTACGCTCATACTCTTTCTCCTTCTCCTTTCTTTCATTTTTCTACTCTCATACTTTCTCCCCCCCCTCTTTCTTTCATTTCTCTACGCTCATACTCTTTCTCCTCCTTTCTTTCAAATCTCTACGCTCATACTCTTTCTTCTCCTCCTGGAACTGTTACTGCTTTACCCAGGTCGACGGACGAGAAGATTAAAAACTCTTGCCATCCCCTACCCCTTAACACCAATTAATCATATCAATATATTTTCTTGCTAGGTCTTTCTTGTCTTCGTGATGTGTTCAAGTACCTGGCTGAACCATCCTGTCCCCTTCCCATAAATTTAATGTCCAATGCCTTTCTCCCTATCATTTGGCAAACCATTCATTGCCCGTCACCAAATTACTGTAACCGATTCTCTTCCAACACTGGGACATGTTTTCAATTCAAAATTCTCTTCTAGAAATATAATTTGAGTTGGATTCTCTCACGTTTCCCCTTGCATTCTGGTTTTGCTACTCCTTGTAAATGTTCATGTTTCGGAGTTCTATAGAATGTTAACAAACATCACTTTTGTGTACATACTGATCAAGCCAACAAATACAGGATGTTTCACGACTTTAGGGTATAACTGCAGGAGGTGATTTTCTAGGTCTTTGTGATCAAAAAAGTTCATATAAACATGTGTCCGATTTTGGAAGGTTACGGAGTTATGACCGTTTTTTCATTCCCGTCCTCGCACTCGTGTGAACCGCGTCTGTCATCTGACGGGTCGCTATTTTTAGCCACCTACAGACAGTGCGTTCTCGTTATCTCGAAACACTTGAGAGCAACTTAAGGCGTGGTGGGTTGGTATGTCTAGGCGCGGTTCACAACCGAGCGGCAGCCTGTGTTGGGGCCGGCGGTGTCATTTTCGAAAATCAGCTTTAAGCACCAATAAATTCAAATTAAAGGTAATTTCACGAAATTAACTTTACATTCATACTTTAAATGTATCTTGTATTATGCTGGTTTATTATTTTGTTCCATTTATTGTCAGTAATCGTTGCCTTCTATTGTGAGTTTAAAACGGTCATAACTCCGTAACCGTCCAAAATCGGACACATGTTTATATGAACTTTTTTGAACACAAAGACCTAGGAAATCACCTCCTGCAGTTATGCCGTAAAGTCGTGAAACACTCTGTATAATGGAATAATTCTGTATTTCAGCATCCCGTTGCAATTGTTCACATTAGCATCTATTTGTCTATAGTCCGTCTAAATTGCAACACCTCTTTTTCTGCTCTTCAACACACTCTTCAACACTACATGTTTCGGCCTCAAACGGCCATCTTCAGGTGTTTTAAATAGATATTCTACTAAGACTGTGTCAAAACTGCTACACTGTTACACTGTCCTAATTCATTTTAAAAACCACAAGCTGTAGTCTTCTTTTTAATTAAAATAAATTAAATACTTTCCCGTCTGTATCTACTTCTTCCGGTTCAACTTCTAAGGTTTCTGGCCGATTAGGTCGATCATATAGTTCTGTAATATACTTTTCCCAAATTTTCAGCACTTGCCTCTAATCTACTATTCTATCCCCTGGGAGTCTTCGAAGCCAACATTTTGAATCCCATGATTCTCTTTCCATCCTAGTTCTTTTGTCTTCATGTACATCAAATCATAACGTCCTGTTCTTTGAGATTCTATAATCTCATTACATATCTTCACAAGATATTCCTTTTTGGCCCTGTCCGTGGCTCTTTTCAATTAATTCCTCAGTCTCCTGTATTTCCTCCTGCCTTCTTCATTGCTGACGTTCTTCCATTTCCTTCGTTCCTCCATTTTACTCATCATCTCCTGTGTAACCCATGGGTTTCTTGCTATCTTCTCAACTTTACCAACCAAATCACTGATAGTATCTAACATGCATTGTCTTATATTGTTCTACTGCGCTTCAGCATTTCCGCTTTCGCCTTCAATTGCACAGAGTTTCTCTTCTAGGGTCTCTTGCACGCTTTGTCTTTGGAAGTAAAACAATAAGTAACAAAATTATAAAAGAATTTTATCTTATTTATATTAAAAAGACTACAGCGTGTGGTTTCTAAAACGAAATAGAACAGTGTAACAGTGTAGCAATTTTGACAGAGTCTTAGTAGAATATCTGTTAAATAACACCTGAAGATGGCCGTTTGAGGCCGAAACATGTAGTGTTGAGAGTGTGTTGAAGTGTAGAATAAAAAAGTGTTGCAATTTACACGGATTGTAGACAAATGGACGCTAATATGATGGAATAATATTAGTTTCTCAAGAAGGACTTGGCTGCTAGGCAGTAAGTCACTTTGTTAGCTATGCAGTTATGACAGAAGCAATATCTATTCTGTTTCATGACATCAGCTTCTGCGCATTAAATTGCTGCCTGACTTTGTGGCAAACTTCTTCCGTTCCTTGGTACATGGTACAATGTCAACTCGGGAAGAGAAAGGTATTGTGAGGCCGGACATGATCCATCTGCTCATGCAGGCCAAGAAAGGAACACTTCAGGGGGATGATAATGTTACAAACAACAGCAAGATTACCAAGCCAAGTATGCATGATGATAATATAACATAATTTAATATACTATTTTGACATGACACTTGAAACCCGGGATAGTGGAGTCAGAAGAGACGACCATTGCCAAGCAATAGTAAACAACGTAAGATTTGAGGTTTTCACGGCGGTGACTATGAAGAAAGCCGTCTTCTGGGATGTGGTGCCGTGTAGAAATTGTGCTAACCGACGTGTCGGAGAGCATATCGCCTCAATCTTCAGGGTAGAAAACAAGAAGGAATCCGCGAGCGAACCAGCTAGAGCAGGTACAACAGACTGAGTCCAGTCGAGTAAACACAGCTGTATAACAGAAGGAGAGAAGGAGTGTGGTTACATAGGGAAATAGTAGAGAGGTGGAGGGGAAAGGTCTGGTGGAATAGCCAGCAGGCAGTGGGCCAGAGCTGGTATAGAGTATGTGTTAGGGGGAAAGAAGAGAAGGTTAAATGGAGGGCATTAACCCAGTAGCTCGGGGGCTGCGTTGGACCTGATTGGCCTATAGAGTCTGCCGTAATTCGGAGGTTACTTGAGGGAACAGATGAGAGGGTTCCATGACTTGCTGAGACAAAACCCCACCTCTCTGTTCATATTGTCGGGATGGAGTTCAATCTCAATGGCCTCCCTAATGATCCTATCCATGTAACAGGTGGTGCCAAGTCAAGGAGAGGGCACTTGACTTGGCCCCACACAAGCCCCGTTGCTGGGTTCGCTACGTGGACGACACCTTCGTCATCTGGCCACACGGGCCCGACAAGCTTAATGACTTCCTGAACCACCTCAGTAGTATCCACCAGTGCATTCAGTTCACAATGGAGACTGAAATTGAGGGCTACTTCCCTTCCTCGATATAGATATTTACAGGAGACCCAGCGGTTCTCTGGGCCATAGAGTGCACCGCAAATCCACCCATACAAACCTCTACCTCAACGCTGCGGCCAACCACCACCTTTCCAACATGCAAGCTGTACTTTCCGCATTGGTACACAGGTCTAGCGCTCTGTGTGATCAAGACAGCCTACATGCGGAGTTGGTACTCCTGGGGGATGTTTTCAAGCAGAACGGATACAACAACCGGCAGATCCATAGAGTTCTCAACCGTCGGCCGAGCATCAGTCGACCCGAAGATAAACCGGACTCAGTCGACTTCCTGCCTTATGTCGTGACTATATTCAACCGTATTAGCAGAGTGCTGTCCCAACACAACATCAAATCAGTGGGCCTGCCTTCAAAGAAATTATCCAGTTTCCTCCGGCCTGTCAAGTAATCTCCGAAATACATCAGACACTATAGGCCACTCAGGTCAATTGCAGCCCCCGAGCTACAGGGTTAATGCCCTCCATTTAACCGCCCCTTCTCTCCCCATAACCCATACTCTATAACAGCTCTGGCCCACTACCTGCTGGCCATTCCACCAGACCTTACTCTTTCCCCTCTCTACTATTTCCCTATGTAGACACACTCCTTCTCTCCTTCTCTTATACAGCTGTGTTTACTCGACTGGATTCAGTCTCTTGCATCTGCTCTAGCTAGTTCCCTCCCGGATTTCTTCGTCCTCTACCCTGAAGATTGGGCTATATGTTCCTCCGAAACGTAGTTTAACACAATTTCTACACGGCGCCACAGCCCAGAAGACGACTTTCTTCAATAGTAAACAAGTTCCCGCGGCAATCAATACAAGTAACAATAGAGGTATTGTTATGATAACGATGGAAATTGTGTTTTCCGTTGGATTTGCCCCGAGGCATTTGGGATCAAAGGCCACCTGTAATAATAACTGAGGGAGTCTCTTGAGACAGCAGTCGAAGATGATGGAGAAGAGATGGCAACCAGTTAGTTGACGATAGTTAGGATACGACTACTGAACCTGAGAACCCTAGTGTGTGTGTAGCGGTGAACTGTGAAGTGTGTAGATCAGCCATCACGCTGCATTTCTTGTAGATACGAGTTGAGTTTGTAAGTGCAATAAAACAAATCATCTAATCGAAACCCGCCAATAGTCGCCCCTACACGTGACAATTAAATATTTTCAAGTGTATGGGATTAGCGGACGGATAATAATGGGTTCTGGATTTGATGATTGGGTTTTTTGGCACATCTTTGCAATTACAGTCAATTATTACAGCTCACCCTGAATCTTCACTGCCAAGGCCATTCTTCATTGTGCTTCTCATTTTGCGACTAACTCCTGTGAATCAATTACGTGTCCTTCTATAACCAAGTGCGGACCGCCAACAGAAGGCACAGTTGATCGGTTCTTCTGTTGTGATCTGCTTATCCGTTTCCATTGTAATTGGTGTTTACCACACCGGTGTCCAGCAACGGTCTGTTCCGCGTTGCTATGTGAATTTGATTAGCGAACGTTGCCTAGCAGGTGGCCTTATTCCGGCTTTCAGACGTCATATCATAATACTGTATAATTCATTAGCTGTAATACTAGAGTGCCTGTGCAGATATATCTTCACTGGAAATTCGAAAACAATTTTTGTTATTTTAGATGGTTGCTTACATTTAATTCCTTTACGTACTATGGCGCGGATGTTGGTTTTATGACTTTAAGAACACAATTCTTGTGGGTCAGGCCATATGAAAGAACTTGTAATTCGTACTCTAAAGTCTGTCGGTTTTCACATATATAAATATCTCGTACACTATCAATAACTTTGCGAATACACAGCTGAGTCTTTTAGAGACTGAATTACGACTCTGTCAGTATCTAAATAATATATTATGAACGATAGGTTGAATTGTAAGTTCAAAAGGATTTGGAATGATGCCGTAGTGACATAATTCCGCTATGTGCCTGGAGGAAGTGATAAAATCCATGGAAGCGTCAGTCAGGATAGCTGCTCTCCTGGTCAAGAAACCAAAAAGCACCTCCCGAATATAAGTCTAGAGCATTGCTACTAGGCCAGACTGCATTGTGCTAGCTTGTCATCAGAATAATAAAGCGGACAATGTCTGACGCGCAAGATTTAGTTTCTTTCAACAAAACATTCACAATTTCTTGAGGAATTGTATTGGTCCCGTGTTTCATGTGAAACTTAACTTCTCTAGATGACACAAATCCATAATTTTTTCATGATATGAAAAAATGTTTCAGAATTTATATCGCTTTATTGTTACGGCCACCCTATGCCCTTATATTGAAATAGTAAGTCAGTTATATATCCGGAATAATTCCCATAGGACAGTATGCAATTCTTCCCGCTAAGAGAAACCATGTAGGTTGTGGAACATTATATGCATTGCTCCTGGAGAGGAAAACCAGCAGGATTTGTTCATTTTATCTATTTCAGGAATTAGGCATAGCGATTTCCAAAACCTAATTTCACAGCAATTGTACGAGGGTTAGTTTCGCTTTCAGTTTCTTCGGGTGGGGTGGGACTGAGTCAACTTGTTACGTCGGCCACTCATTTGGCCTACCCTAGTGCTACTTTGTTCATCACAATAACAACGTAATCTTACCGGGGCTCGAACCTGGGCCGTCGCGGTAGGAAGCCGGCGATTAACCGCCTTAGCACCGCCTTGCACGAGGGTAGATCAACGTTAACATGAATTTGCCCCCCCCCTTTCCCAAGATGTAGTCAACGGTTAAATAGAATTCTTTTATGTAATGTTGGCAACATTGCAGTCACTGCCTGGCAAGTGGTCATTCTCCCCGCATCTGAGCGTTGTAGCTAATACAAGATGGCATCAGATCTCGACATTCCTAGTGTAGAACAGAGTTATCATCAAAACCCTAATTATTAATGCATCCGTCAATAACGCAACAATATAAAAGCCATCCAGAATATATTTCTCACTAAAAATGTAACTTTGATAATTATTAATTAATTAATACTAAAAGAATACAACGACAATGAGATAAAATTAAACATTGACGTGCATGGGAGCACGGTGGACAAGTGAAAGTGCACTGGTTACCCCCAAAACAAAATAAATTTGCGTGATGATGGCCCTTGTGCGGCCGAAACATGTAAACGGAAAAAATATATGTAAAACTAAAGACATCTTACAAATTTGACAATCGCTTCTAGTGTATAAGTTTTACTTTTAGTGTCCTAATGACATTTTAATGATTTTAACATCATAAAGTGTTAAAGTTATATTTTTAGTGAGAAACATATTATAGATTTTTTTTATATTCTTGCAATATTGACGGGTGCTTTTAATAATAAGGATAACACCTCAATTCAACGGGATGCTAATATATAATATCAAATTCATAGTGAAAGAGAAAATGAAACACGCTGAGATACGTTGTAGATTAAATGAACATTCTGGGGACCGTAAAGTATACTCGAAGATACAACAGTCTCGTGTCCATGTAACAGCTGCACGTGATGTGAACATTCTCCGCGTCCACGAGCGGATTTTGTGTAAGAGGTGAATAGCAGTACGTGATATTGTAGCCAACAGCTTTGGGAGTGTTGAAACAAATATCCATGAACACAATTGTTCAAGAAAAGGTATCCCTGTTATGTCCTGAAGATGTTATATTTCGGCCAGAAGAAGCAGCTTGTTGCACCTAGTTTAACAATGAATACAAAATACTGTAGTAACTTGCTTCCCAATGACACCAAGCCGTTCAGAAGAGAAGACCCGGGAAACTGTCAAACAACATCCTACTAAATTACAATTCTTGTCACACACCGGAAATTTGACGAAGATAGCACTGGCAACAGGGGGCTGGAAAGTCGTGAAGTACCCTCCTTATATACAGGATTTAGCTGTTAGTGATTTTTATTTTGACGAATTCACCTAGGACAGAAATTTCAAAGTAATAATGAGCTCGAATGAGGTGCCCTGAACTTGCTATGCAGTCAGGATAAATCCTTTTACGCTGTTTGCATCAGTAAATTGCGACGTTGATGGAAAGTGCGAGGGGAACTCAGTAAATATTAAGTCACAAATGGAAGTAAAACAGTTGTAATGGACGTAATAAGTTTTCTATTTGTGTCAATAATTAGCAGCACAGTCCAGCTTCTTGACTGTGTAGGTTGCGGACGCACCTTTAGTTATTCAGGGAGTGCTTCTAGTAATCAAATGGGCGACATTGCTTGAGGAGAACTCTACCGAAGAGGAGAACTGTTTTGGCGTTCTGGGGGCAAAAGGAATCAATGCAAAGGATATTGACTAAGAAATGTTTCCTGTTTAGGGTGGGAAATATTTGTCGCCTAAAGTGGTTCATATCTTGCTCGAAAAATTCTCTTAAGATCGTTCGAAAGTCCCAGAGGTCGACGGTGGGTGCCCAGACAGTGGATGGATCAAGAAAGAATTAATTCAAAGCTGCAGTAGGAACTTTTAGAACATCCCACCATGCAGCCCGCACAAGGCTCCCAGTAACTCCCACTTCCGTGGCCCACTAAAACACAACATTAATGACAAAAGTTTCGCTGATATCAAAGGGGTTGTAACGGAGGTGCGGAAGTGGATGAGACAACATTCAAAAGACTTCAATACTGCGAGTTTCCAAGCACTGGTCAAGCTATGAGACAGTTGTATCGAGGTTAACAAATGTATCATCATCATCATCATCTTCATCATCAGTAATCTGTCAGACGACAGGTCCACAGTCTCTTCCAAAACAATTCCTCCACTTAATTCGATCTAGAGCTTTCTCCTTCAAATGACAGTATCCTCTTCTGTCCCAAAGGTTATCCAGCATCTTCTTACGTCTTCTTCCTCGTCTTCTTGTCACTTCTATCCGCCCCTCTATCTTTCCTTCAATAACTATATCCAGAAATAAATGTTTTTTTTTTTCCAAGATAGAATATAACACGTTTTACGTTTTATATCCATTTGTGGCCTATTTACAGAGTCTCCCTCGTGTGTTACTGTAAGGGTTAAGATGTTAGAAAGGAGCGAGCGTTCGGCGATAGTGGCATGTATATAAACCTCTGTGTAAATAGTGGAGTCCATTTTGTGAGAATCAGGCGGGGGGAAGAGTGTCTGATGTTTGGTTAGTTATAGTTGTATAGGGCAGAGAACTGATATGGTTGTATATAGGTTAGGATTCAATAATATTTATATTTTGGGAACTCTTGTAAAATTTAAACATAGGTAAGCCAAACGAGCTGTTAAAAACGTACAATTCTACTACTGTATTTTCAACGAAGAACTCTGATTTGTAAGTGTTTTCGTAGTAGAACTTTCGTTTGTTGGATCAGCTTTATGTGATAATGTGACAATTTAAGGGATATTGTAAAAAATATTTGTTGTATTGTATCCTTTCAACAGAATGGGAAGACGATGACATAACAGCCCAAGTGGCTCTGTTTTTTCTGGCCGGCTTTGACACAGCCTCCTCACTCCTGAGTTTTGCATCACAACTGCTGGCCATGCATCCAGACATTCAGTCTCGGCTCCAAGATGAGATAGATCAAACGCTGAAAGTGGACGGAGGGAACCTTACATACGAAGCAGTCCACGGCATGAAGTACCTGGACATGGTGGTCTCAGGTATTTCGCAGAAGCTCAGTTACTTTACCTGATCACGACCAGGGTTTGGGTTGGACATACCGTTATCATACTATTACTGTTTTACGAGACGTCAGGTCCTGTACCAGTGTGGCCAAAGCAGAAACTCAGGAAAATACTTGAACGTATGAAGGGAGATTCCACTTCCACCACTGCTTTTACCACGAATCTCTTTTCCGAAGAATATTATCTTCTGGTGTATGATGCCGTGCAGTCTTCCAAGATAGCATCCGTGTTGTTTGTTGCATTCCATCCTGTAGATGGACGCAGTACGATCCTCTTAACTATCGGCAAATTTGTACTAGACTACACTGCATCACATACAAAAAGATAGTAAACTTCGCAATCACCGCTGTGAGACGTTAAAATGTATCTGTCTGTTTGCCCATTAACAAATCGGCCCTACTCTACTTCCCTCTTCTTCAGACCAGACCGCCATTTATTTCTCCCTCCTTGTATTTCCTGACCGTCATTGCTGTTAGAAGACAAAATACACATAACAATTTCGCAGTGCACAGTAAAATCATCCAGTCATCTAACGTCACTACTATAATCATTGCGAAAGTCGACCTCTGTCTGAATGGTTTTGCGGGGTGGAAGTGGTGGGTGCCAAGACGCTGTGCGCATGTCCCACTAATTTCCACTTCCCGGATCCAAAACACAGAATACATACAGTAATACATGTAACGATACGTACTAAAGTGGCTCTGGGTCGATGTTTCTGTTAGGCAGATCGTGCCTAAGACTGCAAGAGATGGGTAGTGCAGGGCTCTAAGGAGACTGAAGCACACTAACTTGAGTAGGAGGACCGAAAGCTGCGGGTTTTAGACTCGCTGGTCTTACAGGGTAGAAGATCGAGGCAGCAACTTAGTCTGACTACACGATGACTACGCGATGACACCAGACTACACGATGTCAAAACCCAGAACAAGAACATCAAATATCATATCCATGTTTCAAGACAGATACGTGCATTAAGTCTTCTGGGGCGGGGAAGAGCAGGGCTCTAAAGAGACTGAGGAAAAGAGACTGGAGTAGGGAGACGGAAGATGCAGGTTTTATACCCTTTGTTCCTACAGGTCAGATGATGGGGACAGCAAGTTACTCCGGAACTTACTCCGGAAATTGATGTCCATATAAGACACTATCATCGCTCATGGAGCTGTGTCCTTCTTGAGAAGCTGCAAAATGTGCAGTTACTGAAACAATTTGCAGTCTTTCATGGTACTCGAAGTTTCATTACCGTGTTCACAAAACCCTCGACTGGTCCTTATCATGAGCCAGATCGATACAGTCCACTCCACCCCATTCCATCTATCAAATATCCACATCAATATTGTCCGGTCATCTATGTCTTGGTCATCCTAGTGGTCTCCTTAACTCTGGCTATCCCACCAATATCCTATACGCATTCTTCGTCTCCCCCATTCGTGCTACATGACGTACCCACCCCACCCTCCTTGACTTGATTATTCTAATTAAACTTGCAGAAGGGTACAAATTGTGAAGCTGTTCATTATGCAGTTTTCTCCAACCTCCTGTCACTTCATCTCTCTTCGGTCCAAATATTCTCCTCAACACCCTGTTCTCAAACACCCTCAGTCTGTGTTCCTCCCTTAATGTCAGAGACCAAGTTTCACACCCATACAGAACCACAGGCAAAATTATAATTTTGTATGTTCTAATTTTTATGTTTTTGGAGAACAGACGAAAAGACCAAAGGTTCTGGACTGAATGGTAGCAAGCAATACCCGAGTTCAATCTCCTGTTAATTTCCTCCTGAATCAGGTTTCGATCTGTTATCGTTGTTCCCAAATATATCTGAACTGAGCCACAGTATCAAAATATCTGCTTCCTAAATTTATGTCATGATTTTGCTCTGCATTTTGGTGACGAGACAGTAACGTATACTTAGTTTTCTCTGTGTTTACTTCTAGACCAACATCTTCACTTGCGTCAATTAAAGTTTGTGTATTTATTTTTGGTATCTACATTATCACTCAGTAGATTCACATTATTGACGTAGACCAACAGCTGATGTGTCCCATTTAATTTCAGTCCCACCTGGTTTCCCTGGACCTTCCTAATTGCATATGCTGAGTCAAAGTTGAAAAGGAGTGGGGATAAAGCATCTCCTTTTTTAAGACCATTTTATATAGGAAATTTATCAGACAAATGTTTACCTACACGGACTTTACTATACGCTTCATTTAAACACATTTTAATGAACCCAACTAGTTTAATGGGTAACCCAAACTCTATCAGAATATTGTATAATACTTCCCTTCTAACTGAATCATTAGCTTTCTTGAAGTCTATGAATAGCTGATGTGCTGTCTCATCATACTTCCATTTTTTCTCCAATATCTGATGATGCAAGAGATCTGATCTGTAGTTGATTTGTTACGTCGAAACTCACACTGATGATCCCCAATAATTTCATCTATATATGGACTTAACCTTGAGAGAAGCATATTGGATCAAATTTTGTATGAAGTTGATAACAGTGATATCCCTCGATAATTACTACAGTCAGTTTTATCACCCTTCTTGCGAACTGGTACAACAATATACTCCTTCCACTGATCAGGCAATTTTTCCTTATGTAGATGTCACATAAAAGTAATTAGATTGTGGATCTTAGAATGTAATATTTCACCTCCTGCTTGAATAAGTTCTGCCAGAATTTGATCATTATCTGCCGATTTATACCGTTTCAATTTTGCAATAGCACTTTCAACCTCAAAACGGCTGGGATCAAGTATTGACGGCTCAGCTGTGTGCATTTCTATCTGCCTAACATCGCTGACCCTATGTACATTCAATAATTGATTGAAGTAGTCCTTCCACCTATGCAAAATATTGTGGGAATCTGCAAACAGATCATAATTCTCATCCTTAACTAGGTTACTTCCAGGTTGGTAACCCCTCTTAAAGTCATTTATTCCTCTGTACAGGTCTCTAATGTTCTTGTTCTTACTGTTCATTGAAAGTCCATCAATTTTGTCTTTCAGATATTCCCTCTTTTAATTCCTGAAATGCCTGCTGCTTTCACGTCTTATATTGTTCTGATTATCCTTATTTATTTCACTTGGATCCTGTATCCATTGCAATTTGGCTTCTGTTCTGTGGCCTAGTAATTTTGAGCATCCTTCATCGAACCATGGCTTATGTTTCTTCGGTTTATAATAACCTAGATTCTCTTTGGCAGACATTTTTATATTCTCTCTAATAGTTTCCCAAGCTTTATTAACATCCACCTCAGTTTCCAAGTTTTCCAAAGCCGTGAACCTATTTGAGATATCAACACAATACTGCTCTTTACCCTCTACCTCATTTAATTTCTTGAGATTGAACCTCTCCATATGAACTTTGTGTGTTGTTTGTTTGCCCACTGCCAGTCATTCCCTAACATTTGCCACCACCAGGTAGTGGTCAGTATCACAATCTTCTGCCCTGAATGATCGGACATCAGGTATACTTGAGTGCCGTCTCCTGTCTATCAAAATATGGTCTATTTGATTGAGTATCATTCCATCAGGAGATGTCCAAGTAAATTCATGGACGTTACGGTGTGGGAACATTGAACTTTTGACAGTAAGATTTTTTGATGTGGCAAAGTTTACAACTCTAACTCCATTATCATTACTAATTTCATGCAAACTCTCATTCCCAATTCTTGGTTTGAAAATCTCTTCCCTCCCTACTTTGGCATTGAAATCTCATAATAAAATTTTCATAGGGTACATCGGGAATTTATCAAATAAATATTCTAGTTCTTCATAGAATCTATCCTTTACGTCATCAATTTTATCTTCTGTTGGGTCGTGAACATTCATAACAATGATATCACACCAGCGACCTTTTAGTATTATATATGATATCCTATCACTAACGAATTCCACCCTCTTAACTGCTGACACGATTCTCTTATGTACGAAAAACGCTGTACCTAATTCATGATTTTCATTCCCCTTTCCATAGAAAAAAGTATAGTCTCCTGCTGGTGCGATGCCACCTCCATTCCATCTGACCTCCTGTACTCCCGCTAAATCTAACTTATATTTTAAGATTTATTCTGCCACTGCCCTGAGCGAACCTGCCCTATACAAACTTCGAACATTCCAAGTGCCAAATCTCATATTCATTTTCATTAGCTTAGGTCGTTTATCCGAGGAATCCGTCCAGGTCCGAGGCTTTGTGTAATTTTCGTAACATAATGATTTTTTACGGTGAGGAGTTGTTAGCCCCACGCCCAACCCCCAAGCTCTAGGGCCACCCCTTGTCGGCTGTCCGCGACTGCTTATTCAGTATATTCGCAGCTTCCCACCAAAGTGAAGGGTGTCTCCTCCATCCGCAACCTGAGGACTCGCCATGCCGTGGTGACAGGGACCCACTTAACATGGGCTCTTTACCCTCTACCTCATTTAATTCCTTGAGAAATAACTTCTCCATATGAACTCTGTGCGTTGTTCGTTTTCTTACTGCCAGTCTCTCCCTAAATTTAACCACCACCATATAATGGTTAGTATCACAATCCGCTTCTCTGAACGATTTAAAATATTGTAAATTTGGTTTTACATCTTCAATCAGTAGATGTTGGAGTAAATTTATGAAAGTTACGATTAGGGAACATCGCACTTTTGGCAGTAAAATTTTTCCATGTGGAAAATATTCTACTTGCTGTAACTCAATTTTCACTAATAACAAAGCGTAATCGTTCATTCCAATTTTTTGGTTTGAAAATGTCTTACCTACCTACTTTGGCATTGAAATCTCCTAATAAAATTTTGATATAGTATTTTGAGTATTTATCGAGTACATGTTCTAGTTCTTCGTAGAGCCTTCCATTTATATCATTAATTTTATTTTCTATATGAGGGGCACGCAGTAGCGTAGTTGGTTGAGGCACTATGCTACAAGCCGAAAGGTCGCGGGTTCAAGTCCCGATGAGGTCATTGGACCTTTTTTCAATTGACCTAAACCTTCCAGCCGCACTATGGCCCTGGAGTCGACTCAGCCTCTAACAGAAATGAGTACTACGAATATTCTTGGGGGAAAAGTGAGGCCGGCGCGTAGTGGTGACAAACCTTGCCGCCATCTATTAGCAGATTGTCTAGAAAATTTCGGAACCTCAACACCTCACGACCCTATGGGCCTCCACGGCCTGTTACAGGGATAGATTTACTTTTTCTTTCAACCAGGCTCTATGATGTCAGTACCCAGAATACCATAATCGTAATACTGACTGTGTTACGATCCTCAGAGTCATACAATCAATCAGAATCCTCCCCATCAAAACATTCTTTCTCACCATTACTATATCCACGAAGAACCGTTGTGGATCACCGAGACATGTATCGAAGCATATCATTGGTCGAATCATCATCTTTCAGGTTTCATGACGTCACTTTCCATTGAGGTTAACACTGCAGTTGTAATGTTACAGCAACTTGGCATCCTCTCTCTGACATGCATCTTCAGCTGTAAAATGTATCTCCCCATCCTTCTTTTGCGTTGGTAAAGCCACGGCCATGCTCGGTGCTCTGTTGAATGTCGGGGCACTTGGCACGTATTTTAAAAACAGTGATATCGAACGTAAATAAGTTATGCTAGAAGAGTACATCTTCTGGGGTGTAAAGCAATTCGAAAAATAATAATCCCTACGTTTCTTTGGAACATCTCTATAGGTTGAAGAGCACATCATGCAAGAAGCCAACAAGAAGGTGGCATGTAGAATTTGTTCTTGCGTAATTTACACTTCGACCTAAGAACGGAGGCGGAATGTTACTCAGAAACGTCACGATTCTCCATACCCGCATGACGTTACAATCTAGAAGTGCAGTTACTAGTGTGAGAACCTCAAATCCAACAAATTATACCGTATTTACTTTCTGACTTCTCTGTGTCACCATAAGCTTCAGTCCCTTTATTTTTGTGCACTTCATGAAGTGCCACTACTGTTGGCAACTAGAGCTTCTTCATATCACGATTAATGCTAATTTCCTTCAACTCCAGACTGGGTGCATTCTCTCTTTATTGCGTCATCTAATCAACGTTCTCAGCAGTGCCATCTGTCATCGCGCCCTCCGTTTATTCGGAGTTCAAATTAGACAGCCAAGCGGCGCTACGGCCACCTTGCCGAACATCCCATTCCGTGTCATCAAAACCTACAATGTCGTTCCCGTACTGTGATATTCCCTCTCACTGACGAATGACCAAGCAGTATCTTGAAATTCTCACGGTCAGTGCTTTAATTGCTTGTACGAGGTGTGGCAATAAAGACCCTGGAATTGTATCACACATGAGATATAAAATAAAAAAAGAAATAAACAACACAGTGAAATAAAAATATGTTATTTCTATTCTAAGTGATCTCCGCCTGCTAGAATACATTTCTCCACCATTTAAAGAGCTTTTAAAAACAGTCAGCAAAGGAACAACATTGATTCTTGGAACTTTATTGCCACACAATGTATATATCCTTTATTCAGGTCCATGTTTCAATAACTAACAGTAGCATTACGAGTGTTAATATTTATTATTACTATTATTATTATTATTATTATTATTATTATTATTATTATTATTATTATTGTACAATACACAATTTTCATCCTGAGTACTCAATCGAAACTTTCTTGATCCCTCAGCTTTAAACTTTGCTTGTTACCCTAATCCCATCTATCTATGTACTGACCTGTCTACCGCGCCTCCTTTGACCGTGTGAGTTCCAGTCTGTAACCTGTCTAACAAATATCACGTCCTTCACTCGCATGATGTTGTCGTACCATCTCAGTTGCTGTTCTTATGTTTCCTGTAATTTCTCTTTATTCATTTCTCATTTTTGTTCTGATTCCTTCATTTTTAATTCTATTCATTCGTGATATCTTTACTGAACGCTTTAGATAATCCTTTTTTGTTGCTAATAATTTGCGTCTGTGCTTCCGGTTTATTATCCATGTTTCAGCTCCACATATCAATATACTTTTTACTATTTATTTGCTTATTAATAACTTTCTTGATTATGTAATATTTCCATTCCATAAATCTCCTCTCGTTTCACTATATAATCTTTTGAAAGCGATATTCGTTTTATCACTTGTGATTTACGTTACAGAAACACTGCGTATATATCCTCCAATAGGAATCCTTGAGCGGAGGTGCGTTCAAACATACACACTGCCAGCTGAACCTCACTATACCCTGAATCCCGGAGACTTTGTCTACATACCCGTTTATGCCCTCCACCATGACCCAGACTACTTCCCCGATCCTGAGAAATTTGACCCTGAAAGGTTTAGTGATGAGAACAAAGGAAGCATCAAAGCCTGCACATATCTGCCATTTGGATCAGGCCCAAGGAACTGTATTGGTAAGAAATACTTACTGTCTGTTTAAAACATAAGTCTAAGCCATAACTTGAGCGGGCAACCTTACGGAAGTAAATTTCTGTGTGTTTAACAATATCTCCAATATGTCGATATTGGTTCACATCTTAAGTTGTAAATGAATAATGATGACATAAACTCAAAATCTCAGACGTTCTGGCCGTTTACCGACGTCCTTCTACCGGAGCTCTGTTTCTTTGTTTCCTGGAATCTGTTTACGGTTAGACCATAGACCCACAATAGCGTCACAAAATTATACGGACGTACGTAAATATCTAATTAGGAAGCACACGCGGCCACTGCACCAAATGCAAGGTACCACCACGACGTTTCCACAGCGCGCTGCCCGCTTTAAGTGCTATGACATGTATTGCAGTAGTTCGCGTACATGAGCAAAAGACGGCATAAATTAGCGTACTTCAAATAGCGGGTTCAAGTCCCGATGAGGTAATTGCATTTTTTTTTTTCAGTTGACCTAATCGTTCCGGCCGCACTATGGCCCCCTGGTCGACTCAGCCTCTAACAGAAATGAGTACCATGAATTAATTAAATAATTTTCTTGTGGAGTAAAGCGCGGCGGGAGTGTCAGGCTGACAACCTTACCGCCATCTTTGAGCCGATTATCTAGATAATGTGGGAGCCTCGACGTCTCACAACCCTAAGGGCCCTTACTGCATATTACAGGGAGAGCTTCACTTTTTCTTAACTAATTTTATTTACTAAATATATGGAATTAATTCATATTGAAGCATCTCAAACCATTTATTGTGTTCGATTTGGATTTTATTTTATTTCTCATATGTAGAGAAACTTCAACCATCTGCAAATCAATATCTGCCACATGTGACACAACAAAAATTCATTGCACTTGCAGCATACAAAACAGCGCAAGGCAATATTTTTGTTGCAAATATGTATCGAGGCAACTGTAAATATACTTTATTACAGCATGTATGATTAAACACTTTATTTCGAAATTAGCAAAAGCACACGTTCTCCGCCCTGAATATGGTCGCTTTTCTTGTCAATATCACAATTTATAGCTAAAACCATAAAAGCAAAACGTTCAACCGAACTATATAAACTTTACTGTTCTAATTAAGTACAGGCAAAAGAGTGGGAAGGAGAACATGAATTACACTCACAAACTCAACTGCAGTACTTGCACAGTGCTTTAATTCCTGTGGCTGCATGCTGGAAATAGTATGAAGTAAATTTTGAAACATTGTATGGACTTTATGTATTATGGAGAAAGCAGAACATTCTACATATACCAGATTATGTTCACTGATATACCCTTCTGCTGTGTTGTCTTCTAGATTATGACACCATGTAGTCTTGCTTGCTGGTCACATGATTACATGGTACCATTAGTCAGAAGGCAACAAACGAAATCTCTACTGCAGTGAGAACATTAAATATGATTTATTTATACCTAATTAAACTTCTGTTCTGTTCTTCCACAGACATTTCCGTCACTGTATGTTCACTGTTCTTATACTTGTAGTTGTTAATCAAGTTCTTTCTTTCACTCCTGTCTGAATACCACATAACCTCCTTTCTTTAGGTCTACCCCTATATATATTTCGATAAGTGTGTAATTTTTTATCTTAACATACATACCAAAGTAACATTTTATTATCATCCGCGCAACTTTCTCTTTGTCTCTGTGCCTTACCCAATTGATTGGTTCTGAACTGATAGTAGATGTGCCCACGGGGTCTATGTGTCATATGTCTCATATATTGTGAGAAAGATGTCAAATGGATCAAAAAGTGTCTTGAGAAATTTCTTTCTAAAATTTTGCTCTGCAAAGAATGCATATGGGAAAGAGTATATGTCATGTTATAAAACATAATACAGAGTTTGAGGTAATAATTTAGTAACCATTTTAAAACGGTTTCATGAAGTTTCACTCCCAATACCAAGAACATGAAATTTCATCAGTGAGGCCAAGTCTCTTCAAACTTCCTTGGACACAGAAGGGAAATTCAGTTTCATCTCTGAGTCCAAGACATAGCCTTTGTGAATTATACCATTTGAAATGAAGGGCTACCTACATTGATTGAAAAGGCCAAGGAAAGCAAAATTGCTACTGTCAACTATTTCCACCTTGTCAGCTGTAAGCATCTCCAGATTTTCGTTTTTACTACTTTCAGTCGAGCTGTTTCTTTATGGCTAGAACCTAGTACTATATTCCGAAAGTCGACATATAAGCCAATTAATGATTTTTTCTCATTGTGTTCCAGGGAGCCGATTTGCACTGATGGAAGCCAAGATAGCATTGGTACAGCTGTTGTCCCGCTTCAACCTAAAAGTTGTCCCAAAGACAGCAATACCAATTAAAATAACCAAGGGTAGCTTCAATATGACAATAGATGGGGGGTTCTGGATTGGGCTTGAGCAGAGAGTCAAAAGTGAAACACAATAACAAATTGAATTAATGGCCATGTAATGGTGTTGCAAATTATTAAAGCACAAATTAAGTAATTAGCCCTTTGTATTCCTACTGTAATAGAAAGTAATGCAATGAAATTGCATCTCCCTACCAGTGCAGTGAAACATACTGAAGTACCGTTAAAATTAAATAATGATATTGTTACTCCTCAGACCTGTGTATCCCTAGGAATATTGGCCATCATTATGATGTACATTCTTTTCTGTTAACTGGCCTTCTGCTTCCATAGCTTCAATTTCAATCCTTGAAACTTTACTTTTACGTCCTCCATCTCGATCTGGGGTTACTCACACATCCTATCACATGCCCCAACACACCCAAATGTTGTATTCTTAATTTGTATTATAAGCACGCTACTTATTATCGTGGTAAATGTACGAATATGGTGTAATATAAAACTGACTTACTTATGAGACCTAGGCAGAGACTTGCCAACATTTAGTGCCAACTTTAGCGGAGAGAGATTTTCGCGTGGTGAGAGCAACGAATCCCCACAAAGGTTAATCTCGGTTTTCTAGACCGGAGCCGCTCTTTCCTTGAAATATCTCCTCAATTATCTTCACGAGGCTGAGTGAACCACTTCGCAGGTAATCAGCGGTAGCTCTTTCGGTATAGTTAGCTTGCGGACTAAAACCACTTATTTTGTTTCTCTTTCTAAGAACGTGCTTGAAATTAACCCATTCGTCGCCAATCCAATTACCCGATAGGCTGATTTTTATTGGTTGCCATTGCTGATGGTGTCGTGTGACCGACTCTAAATGCCTTATCCTCATTCAGATGGCGAAAAAATGCAGAGATACACAGCAATTACAACCTTCCGGTTGCAGTAAGCCTTCCGCTTATTGTTTTGCTCCAGTTAAACGCGCGGCTGTATAACTGGCTCACGGGCGATTGATAGATTGCAACATATCTCATTTTAAACGTGACAGGGTTATACCTTGGCGAATGCTGCTACACATAAAATACACAATAACAAATAGACAACTAGTGTTTCCTTCCTCCCCTGTGAAGCCAACGCTAATTACTTGTAGCAGTGTGGACTTGCGCTGAGAAAATGCTTCATCTGTGATGCTGATATCGGCAACTGAAAATTGTCCAGTGTTCTATAAGGCTCTCTCTCAACATGACCCGTCTTGGCGAAACATACGTCAGGCGTGTGGCTGTGTGGAAGCAGATCCATTTCAATCAGTGGACGTGTCAGAAAAAGAGGCAAGCTAGAGGTGCTCGTGACAAAGGGGTGTAATTGTGCTCTGAAGAAAATACAGAGCGAAGGTATTCAACGGAAACCTGTGGTGTGAAGTATCCAATGTATTCATTTCTCAATGCAGCCAAGACTCTAAGGCCTTAGAAACATAAAATACGAAGGGAATGTTGTTTTCAATGTTTTAATTATAAGGAAGAGTTTAGTATCAATTACAAACGTTGTCTTCAAAGATATATAACACGGAGTAGAAAAGCTACAACAATTTTTTCGATTGAAAATTCTTAATGACAACATGGGTTATTAATTTGTCAATACTCGTCAGATATCCAAATCTGAACTATCCTGAAACTAATTCAGTGGTAGAGGACACTTTTCTGTGAACGAAAGCCAAGGGAAGCGAAATGAAGACCACTCTTCCTGCTCTAACGCATTGCCACGAAAAATTCCCGTTGTGATGTGGAGTCCGTGGCGAAATAGTTCATCAGATGACCCCAGATGAATTCATGTGAGTGAGCTGTTGGCGAAATGTCACTCGAACAAGCTTTTCTCTGAAACTCTTCCCAAGTTTCCCCAGCTAATCGCCATTCCATCAGTGCGGGACACATGTCTATCACAGCCTACTGAGGTGCTCCACAGACCTGACCAGGCAGCGCACGAGTATCTATCATTTTTTGTCTCCAAATTTTGGTTTCATGTCTGTGCAGACTCTTGGCCACTTACAGAGTAGGGTTTTTACTAACAGCAATCCGAGTAAATCAACGATTTTGTTAGTCGTCTCCTTCGGTCATTTTTGTATCACCTTGCCACAAACTGCAAGAAATATGGAAATGTAGAATTCGAGGTTCTTACAGCGGTGATTGTGAAGTGTGTGACGCCGTGTAGTCTGGTAGCAGTTCGCCTACATTTCGGGGGAACGTACTGCCTTCGTCTTCAGTGTCGAAAATGTGTTAACATGAAACGACAAATACGTCAAAGCAGCAAATAGAGTCAACTTGTTTCTGGCGTTTCTGCCTTACAGCCTTATCTTATCACCCACCGTGAAAACGGAGGCAGTACTTTTTACCTTCACACATTGCACCATGTGCAGTCATGAAACATTTGTTCGCGTACAGCCCTTCAGCTTGACTTTTCGTGATAATTCCGTGCAACTTTTATGCATCTTTCATCATCTTTCATGTGTAAGTACACTGAGTAGTTGTGATGCAACAAAGCTAGCGCAGTAAGTAGAACGGGCAGCCTTCACCATAAGCTTGTCTTGTCCATTGTGTCGCTTTTGCAGAACCATCTTCCGAAGGTGTAGGTAGACGGTCATTATTTTTTTTTTTTGCGAGTGGTTTACATTGCTGCCAACACTGCGAATGCTGGGGTGATCGGTCGAATTGGAAAAAGACAATCTGGTCTAATTTCAGGCACTTTCTCAGCATTTGCCTAGATCCTGAGGATAACCAAGGAAAATGTGTTAGGATAATCTGTGTTCCGTCCGAGATTTTGCCCGGGCACGTCTCAAATACAAGTAAAAATTTACTACATTATTTGACTTTCTCGATGATGTGGTAATAGTAATTTTGAACGTGACTGTATCTTTAAGGAAAAAAAAAAAGAGCCACCCTGTAACAAGCCGTGGAGGTACATATGGCTGTGAGACGTCGAGGCTGCCACATTTTCTAGGCAATCGGCTCACATTTGGTGGTGAGGTTTGTCAGCTTTACGCCTCGGCCTGCCGCCCTTTAGCCTCAGGACGATTCCTGGTACTCATTTCTCTTAGAGGCTGAGTCGACCCCGGGGCATAGTGTGGCTGGAAGGATTATGAATTTGAAAACTCAATGACCTCATTGAAATCGAACCCGCGACCTTCCGGTATATAGCAGAGTGCCTCAACCAACAGGGCTTCCGCGTGAAAGATAATGGATATAGCGAAACGCTACTTTCAATTCTTCCTTACCAGTCAATTTATTTGGTTCGTCGGAAAGGATCTATTCGGCGTCTACAAGGAAGAAATAGGACTATTATATCTAACAAGGAGTAATCACTATTCACCTATTTCTCTACAGCCGCCTTCTCTGTTTCTTAATCCTGTTCACAGTCGGTAGGACTCCTCGGACGGGGGATCAGCCCGTCGCAAGACCGCTACCTACAGACAGCACAACGACACAGAATAAACACCTTGAGTGTGATTCGAAATCACGACCCCAGCGTTCGAGCCAGCGAAGACAATTCATGCCTTAGACCGCGCAGCCACTGTGACCGGAAAAATCAGCGGATAGTAGGGGCAAATAGCGCTGTTACTTCGTATAAGGAATTATCACTGTTCAATCTGATTTGAAAATAGGAGGAGGTATATCAAATATTTGTAAGTATTTTTCTAAACAAATTATTCTTCTGTCGTAAATACTCAAGAGACAAACGAATAAAGAAACAGTTTCATAAACGATCCGACCTTAACTTTGTAGGCAAATATCTTACTCCGCTCGCCCATGTCAATCTCCAGGATCCGGCCGTGTAATTGAGGCCAGCAATGGGCTGGAGGCCCGAAGTAAGGACCTCGCCCTTCACGGCGTGTTTGAAACACGATAATGAAACTTCGGGTTCTATGTAGGAGGGGGAGAGTTTCTCACAATCTGTGTGACTATGAACTTCTCAATAAGGGCCCGTATTCATGGACTTATGAAACTAAAAGCAAGAGGAGTATGACAGTGTAATTTGTAATGCTCATCCGCGTGACGTTTCTGTCCTGTACCACGTCCTTCAGATGACGTCAACTGGACATATATAACGAGATGGCCTGGCTCGCATACTTTGTCTTGTTTCGAACATCGCTTGTGACCTTAAACCTGCTGTACTGTTCTGAACGCTGGTTGTGATTTTATCATCTACGCCTGCATCTGAAGACAAACCGTTCATATTGTGTCACACAGACACAGGGCCTTCACATTTCCATTGAACAAGGTATGTATACACTTTATTTATGGTTTATTTAGCGACACTGACAATTCCTGAGATAAGACGAGAAAAACATACGTGCAGCAGGATGCTGCAGTACATTTTCAATGTTTACATTTAAGTTGAGGTTATCTCGTGAATAAATGTAGTGTGGCATGTAGTCCCGTTGATTGGCAAATTCCGCGAAACAAACAACTAGACAACTCCTTGTAAGAGTAACAGAGGAAATGTGTTTTCTGTGCGGTCCGTGCCGAAATATTTCAAGAAAATCAGATAGTGACAGTTCAGTCGGTCAGTAGAGTTGAGTTAAGTTGGTTAGTTCATAAGTGGACTGTTGCAGTTCAGTCCTTGTGAGCTGTTGCTGTTAGAAGCTTGTAGCTGTGGCAAGGGAACAGTGCGGAAACCCAGAGGAAGTGGAACGCCCGCCATTGACAGCCGCTACCGAGCAACGGTTAGCGAAGACATGATTGTGAACATTAGTATGTGTGTTGCGGGGTTCGCAACCCTTTTTGGATTTTTTAATTTTAGGATCTTGAGTCTGATGTCTGGGGTCATGCCCTCTACTAAATTTACAGCACGTCAAGAGGTTGACCTGCTTCCTCAGAGAAAAAATGTTATATCTACCCCTGCCATTCCATAAATTAGTGGGGTCCTGGAGTGTTTCGTCTGGGACCAATCCTTCAACAGCAGCTGGTGTAATCTGATCTGCGTGAGGGTTCATGTCTCGGGACATTGGTCTGCAAGTTTAGTTTTAGATAGGTTTTAAGAAGAAGAAGGAAGTTGAAGGGTGCATTTTGTCTGGGTTGGGGCTATGGGAAGGCTGGCCAGGCTTACGTCCACCAGCGCTTGTATGTAATATACACTAAGAATCAATAAAACCTCTATTATCTGTAGTGAGTATTTGCTCTTTGTGGTTGGAATACCCGCTCCAGCAGCCAACTGACCATCACCATCACTGAATTATTACGCTACCGCTCGGCCAACATAATTCAGTCGACCCGCCACCATCTTGGGTCACGACAGAGGAGAGAAAAATCTGGTGTCAGGTGTGGGGTTGCAAATCTGTGAAATGAAAGAATTCTGCGTGTAGTTGCAA